AAGATGGCTAATACACTTCCAAGATGTTTGAAATTTTTTGTGCAGAACATGGTGTCGATTATGATGTAACTGCTCCTTATACCCCTCAACATAATGGAATTTCAAAAAGAAGAAACAAAATCATATTGGATATGGTGAGATGCATGTTAAAGCAAAAAAAAAATTGCCAAAATCTTTATGGAGTTATGTTGTTTCGACTGCAGTTTATATTTTGAACAAGTACCCTACCAAGATATAGAAGACCAAGGTTCCTGAAGAAGTATGGAGTGGCAAACGACCATTAGTGAGTCATTTGAAGGTGTTTGGCTCTATGTGTTACAAGCATGTTACTGGTGCTAGAAGAATGAAGCTTGATGACAATAGTGAACCTATGATTCTGGTAGGATATCATAAAACTGGTGCATACAGGCTATTCAATCTAGTTAATGAGAAGATTATGTTGAGTCGAGATATTATGATTGAGGAAAATTCTGCCTGGGACTGGAATTATAGTAATTCAATTAACAAGCCCTTGATGAGCTCTGATTTTGACAAAGAAATTGATGAAGTCAAATTTAAAGGAATTATTGAGAATCCAGTCAAAATTGAAGTTGAAGCAACTACTGACATTCCCGACACAGTGGAAGTCGAAGAGGTTGTGGCTGAAACAAGCCAAAGACCTCAAAGAAATAGAGTTCTTCCAACAAGACTTCATGATTATGAAGTGGTGGGTGATGATGAAGTCACACCAGATGGAGAATTAGTTCATTTTTATTTACTTGCAGGTGCTGAACCAATCAACTATAGAAAAGCTTTGAAGATTAAACATTGGAAGCTATCTATGGTCAAAGAGTTACTGGCAATTGAAAGAAACAACACATGGGAGTTAGTCGAATTTCCAGCACAGACAAAAGTTATTGAAGTAAAGTGGGTATTCAAGTTGAAACATAATACTGATGGGTCGATAGCAATACATAAAGCAAGATTAGTAGCTCGAGGGTTTCTTCAACGTGTAGGACTTGACTACTTTGAAGTATTTGCTCCAGTAACAAGATTGGAGACTGTTTGACTGGTGGTAGCATTGGCATGCAACCATGGTTGGTCGATGTTTCATTTAGATGTGAAATCAACATTTCTGAATGGTCCTTTAGACGAAGAGGTCCATGTCGCATAACCTCTTGGGTTTGTGATTCAGAAGGAAACGAGTAAAGTATATAAGTTGCACAAATCACTTTATGGCCTCAACAAGCCCATAGGGTATGGAACAAGAAGATCGACTCATACTTAGTCGAATTGAGATTTGTCAAATGCAAATATGAGTATAGTGTTTATGTTCAGGTTGTAGCACAAAATATAATAATCATCTGCTTATATGTCGATGACTTGCTAGCAACTAGAAACTACTTGGAGAACTTTTCGAAATTTAAAGAGCTGATGATGAAGGAATTTGAAATGTAGGACCTGGGACAATTGTCTTATTTCTTAGACATGGAATTTTAAATGTCAAAGCAAGGTATGGTGCTACGTCAAAGAAAGTATGTCAAAGAGATACTCAAGAGATTCAGAATGGATGATTCGAATCCTCACCCGTCAAACCAAACTTGAAGTTGGAGAAGCATGAAGATAAAGACAAAGTCGATGTAACTTTGTTCAAACAAATTGTTGGGTCTTTAAGATATGTGTGCAACAGTCGACCATATATAGGTTTCACAGTCAAATTAGTAAGCAGATTCATGAGTGAACCAATAATGTCTCATATGAAGGCTGCAAGAAGAATCTTGATATATCTGAAGGGTTCGATAAACTATGGAATACTATTTTGACGAAATTCTGAAGACAAAGAAGCAATAGTTAATTGCTTTTCAGATACTGATTGGTGTAGAGATAAGGAAGATCAAAGAAACACAACTAGATATTTCTTTCGAGTATTTGTTGCCCTAATCTCATGGTGATCAAAGAAGCAACTTGTGGTGGCATTGTCATCGTGCGAAGCTGAATTTATAGCAGGATCCTATGTTGCATGTCAAGCAATTTGGATCAAATCAGTACTTGAAGAAATGGAGGTCGAAGTGAAGAAATCTCTAGTGTTGCAAATCAACAACAAGTCAGCCATAAATCTGACAAATAATCATGTTCTGCATGGAAGAAGTAAACATATCGAAGTTAGGTTTCACTTCTTGAGGAAAAAGGTAAATCAAGGTGAACTTGAAGTTAGGCATTTCTGAAGTGAAGCACAGTTGGCCGATATTTTCACCAAAGGATTGAAGATCGATATATTTATGAATTTGAGAAAGAAGTTAGGAATAGTTCAGATCGACTATGACTAGCGTAGGTTCGACAACTTGGATTATGGAGGTGTGTTGAAATATTAAAATAGATTTTTTAGATTAGATTAGATTTGATTAGATTTAATATTTAAAAATAATCCAAGTTGTTTTAGTCCAACCCAATTAAGGTTGTATATAAATAGTCATAGTGTGTGTATCATTATTTTGTATAATTCATTCAAGTGAATAATAGAATTCTTATTTTCTTTATTATTCTATCTTCATTAAAAGTGCTTCACACACTAATATATAGAACATTGAATTTATTTTTAATTTGAACATATCAAATTAAATTATACATTAGATTACTTCATTCACATCATATTACCATTCCATCGTTATTAACGTTAACACTAGTTAAAAGTGTTCTATCAATCTCTAAAATTTAAAAGATACTCACAAACCATAAAATGTTAGTTTCACAATGTCATAAATAAAGTAAACAATTACAACAACAAAAATTCCATACCTTCTTCAAGTTGTTGCACTTCATCCAGTTATTCTCGTAAATCAGTCACCTTAGAATTTCTTAAAAACTTCTTCAATAGAGTAACTATAGTCATCGGTTCAGTTCATCAGTTTGACGGTTCTTAAAAACTAAAATTGAAAACCGAACCAAATCGCCTCGATTTTAATCGGTTTGGTTAGATTTTTTAACCAAAATACAACAATCAATTTTTTTTCCGATTTGATTTGGTTTGAATAATTAATTTAATTAGTTTTTTTCTAATTCACTCACACCCCTACCGATTGTATCTTCAACTCGAGGAGTGAGACTCTCCACCTCCAGCGAATTCCCTGTTATGGGGTAAATAGATGTGACGGAGTTGGTAGATGTTGTGATACCTCGTCTTGTCACCATGTTAAATAAGGTAATTTAGGAGACTTATAAATTGAAGGTGAGTGTAACCCAGGTCAATTTTATCAAAGGGTCATAGAGGACGACAATTGTACTCGATAAAAACACAATAAAGGGAGAAAGTTTGTTCACGTAGGAATTGCGAGATATCCTTTGTGTTTTTGCTTTTAATAACTAATGAATGATCCATCCTGAATCATGAGGTAGAGATATTTATAAAAGTATATGTGGATCGAATTCAATCCGGTAACCAGATCTTCTCATTTTTTTTTTGGGAATACTTGACATTATGGAGGAGTAGTTTCCTACTTTCTTAGAGAAGTGGTTTCTTCTCCATGATCTGATCAAGACTATTAGTCTCTTTCCACATCTCTCAGGTCCCATACAAACTAGAATGGATAAGTGATAGTATGTTCGGGTCGAGCGGGTAAACCCACTTTAGGTGAGCAAGTCTAATTAAGTTGCTTGCCAATATTGCTGCACATGGTTTGAATTGCTTTATAATGAACCGTCGCTTTTTTAAGCCCGACAAATTTATCTCAAACCATAATTAGGTCACAATATTTCATTTGAATAACATTTGTAGAGTTTTGTATGATTGCATTACATCTAGTATGTAAAAAATACTAATGACTTTTCAACCATCATTGCAATTTTTAATGCGATTTTGTAAAGTTAGAAAAATAAATCTGTGGTATATCATAGGTTTTTATCATGAATTCGATGAAGTAAACGTCCAACCAAATATATACTATATTTGAAGAATCTGAAAATGAGTAGAAAGAGTTACAAAATGAAAGTGGAGAATTGTTTTTTTGTACACATTTTAAGAGTTTTGAACAGCATGCTAATTGCAAGGGAAGAAAAAATCAAATATTGTAGAAGCTTAGCTTGGTAGTGAAACTTTCAATAGCCTTTCAGAGTTTATATATATGAGGATTAATTCAAAGTCTAAAGAAATATACCCAAAATTTGGATAGATAGATAGATAGCAAGCCAACAAGAAGCAATAGTTTTTCTTTTAAAATTATTCCTTTTGTATATGCTTGTTTTAGTTTTTATATTCCCATAAAAAAAATCTGCAGAGTCTTTTCAAACACGCTTGTTTCAAGTGCTTATACTTGAGACATTGATGTTACACTTATGAGTTGTATTAGTATTCTTTAGAATCTAGATTTGAGACAAGCATTTATCTCCATTAACGACAAAAAAGTTTTTATTCTTTCCAACGGATAATTCGACAAATAAATTACTAGCTTAGAAAGGTTTAAATAATGGTCAAGGTGGAGGAAAATCTTTTGCAATTTTGTTCAATACAATGTTGAAATATTAATTACAATCTTTTTAGCGTAAATTAATTCTATTTTTCTTTTTCATAGTAAAAATAGTGAATAATAATATCATTCTTTAGTTGCTGTGGTTTTTAGAGTAATAGTGTTTTAAAAGCTTATAACAAGTTTTGTATCAGGTTAGAACCTGATTCTGATTCTGATTCTAACTTCAAAGTGCTGACAATTTAGTGAGTCAGATAATGAAAAATATTCCATAAAATAATCAGATTCTTACACTATAAATAAATGTCAAGAGTAATAACATTACTTCCTAACTAGTAAGATAAAAAATTTAACACAATCATTCTGTTTTGTTCTCTCTTCCAAAACAGAGTTCATAGTTGATACAAATTTTCTATGCTCACATCCAATTCAAAAACTCATTTTCCATGCTCCAAATTTTACAAACCGTTTCAGTTTCAGTTTCAGTTTCACCTTCTCTAATACATAGTTTCTCCTGCACCTCTGGAGTGAGAAAAGAATCACAGACACACTAAAAAAAAAATGGAGTCGTTCAGTTTTAATCTGCAAGCAGAGAAAACAAACGCAATCCTGAAACATAGGAAACTCCAAAGAGTAACAACGTTGTTACGTCTGGTTGAAGTGTGTGTCGTTTTGGTGTTGATTTCAAGACTTTCCATGAAGCTACCAGTTGCAGTAAGAAACTCAAGCGAGTATCTAAAGGACTTTTCGGTCTTTATGAATAGTCCCTGTTTTGTTTTTCTCATCGGAAACGTTATAATAATCACGTTATTCGTCCAGGGTTTAGGAAAAAACGTTCACGAAGAAACAGAGCAGGGTGATATCTACGAAAAGTTTGTACGAAAGCGCGAAGAAAAAGAAAGAATAAGAAAAAATGATTGTATTACAGTGGAAGAAGGTGATAATAGGGTAGTAGAGGAGGTGGAGAAAGTGAAAAGAGGGGTGAAGAAGGGTTATTGTTATAGGAGGTGTGAGAGTGAGGTATTGAAGAAACGACGTCGTGTGTTGCGAAGGTGTGAGAGTGAGAAGAAGGAAAGGAAAAGTATTGAAGGTGAAGAGGAAATGGTTATGAGGATTTCGTATCCTGAGGATGAGATGAGTAACGAGGAGTTTCGTAGGACTGTAGAAGCTTTTATTGCTAAGCAACAGAGGATTCGAAGGGGAGAAGACAAAGATTATTCTTATTTGGTTTAGAACTGTAATTAATTACATGTGTTTTTCTTGTCTACTTTATTACTCATTTTCCAAATTATGGATTTAATTTTGTTTACCAGTCTTTAAGATTATGAAAATGTAAAACAAAAATCTGTTTAAATATACTTTTGGTCAACTAATTTACGACTCTTCAAAACCATGTGGGACTATATCTTAATTCAAGTAGTGTTATGGTCATGGCCATAAGATCCAATAATATTATACCAGATTCTTCCATCGCTGCTTTAGTTACAAAACCTTCACCTCTTTCAATAAGTGATAGGCTTTCAGATATTGTATAGAGTAGCCTGTTGTACGTAATTTCCTGTTTTATATTAGACATCAAAGATGTTAGGAAGATCCTAAAGTTCCACATTAGTTGGAGATAGAGTATTGAAAGAGTTCATATAGAGTGACGCTCCTCACCTTTATAACCGGTTTTATAAGGTGAAGCTAAGTCAAACTCTAAGATAGTATCAGAGCCTATCGATCGGATCTCACATTTTTAACCGATTTTATAAGGTGAAACTAAGTCAAATTATAAGGTGTAACTATGTTATTTAGACTCTTTTTTTACACGTTCCTAGGTAGAATAAGGAGGAAGCTTCAAGTAATTAGCGTTACGTAACTATGTTACAGTAAGCCTCATGCTGCAGAATGATCACAGATTTTAGTACTCTTCGAGTGAGTGTCAACTCCTCAAGAATTAAAGAAAGAAAAGAAAAGAGAATTTGGAAAAGGAATGAGATCTTTTTATAATTCTGCATGAATAACAATTCTCCCGTACAAGTTATATAGTGCACGTTTTGGGTTATCAATTCATTACCACTATTGAGCTCATCTATGATTTGAATTGGACTTTCGCTTAAAGGGGTTGTATCATTCTCTTCCCCTTCAAAACTCACCTTGTCCTCAAGGTGGAGATCCAGGTAGCAAGTTTGAAGCTGGGATAAATCCTCCCAAGATGCTTCATCTGCTGGAGAGCCTAGTCATTGAATAAGCACTTGTTGTTGCGGCTGTCCTTGAACCAAGATGGTGCGACGGGCCAGCACCGCACTGGGTAGCTCAACCGTCTGGTTCTCAAAAATGTCCAAAGGTAAATCATGAGCGATAAGAATGTCTAGTCCACGAAATAGTTAAAAGTTGACACATTAAACACCGGATGAATGCGACTCTCTGATGGCTGTTGTAATTTGTAAGTCACTTCACCTATGCATTCCACAACCGAAAATGGCCCGTAGTACTTGGTAGATTGTTTGTGGTGGCAATGTTGACAGACCGTAATTTAGCGATACGGCCTGAGACGTACCAGAACCAAATCAGAGTGTGACTCGAGTGAGGATCGAAGCAGAACACGAAACTCTTCCGATTGCGCATCAAATTTGAATTGAAGGACGCTCATAATGTCAAAGAGATCCATAATGAAAGCACCAATGATACACTCTGCTGCAGAATGATCACAAATTTTAACACTCTTCGAGTGAGTGTTAACTCCTCAAGAATTAAATGAACAAAAGAAAAGATAATTTGGGAAAGGAATGAGATATTTTATAATTCTGCATGAATAACAATTCTCTTCTACAAGCTATATAGTGCAATACTAGCATAACAAGTTGCCTAATTTATGGAATGAAAATAGAAGTAGTTTGCCTAATTTACAAAAATGAAAATAATAGAAGAAAAATGTAAAAAACAAAAGCATATTCGTGCTAATACTCTTATTTAGTAGTGGTAATCCTTCGTCTAGGTTGGTTTCTTAATTTGTCTCCTTCCACGTTTTGGATTATCCATTTCATTACCACTATTGAACTCATCTATGATTTGAATTGGACTTTCACTTAAAAGGATTGTATCGGTCTTTGCCTGCAGAAAATTTTCAACAGAAAACTTACAAGCTTGATGGAAAGTTCTAGGATTCTAATTGTTGTTGAAAGCTATAATGAAACTTGGATTCTAATTATTGTTGAAAGCCATAATGAATGTTTAGAACCATAATATTTTGATTATTTCATAAACAATATCTTCAAAATGTCAATATTAGATGTTCAATAACTGAAAACTGCAAATTCGTTTTGTGGCAGAAAAATAGGGTCTGTATCTTGGTGGTAACGAGCAAACATAATCTATATTTAATAATCTCCCTAATGAAATATTAAAGCATGAGATATTGGTCAGATAAGTACTCACCACCCTAAGATATCACCAAAATACAAAATGATCTTTAATGATACAAATTAGTAAAAAAATCTCTTAAAAATCCTAATGACATTATATCAACTTATCCATGATCCAATAAAACTCAGAAGCTATAATTCAAAAGCTTAGCAACTAAAGCAGAAGAATGTGTGCTCCATGTTACCAAATTAAAATTGTTAGGAAAGGAAAAAGGTCAAAGCCTGTCACTGATTATTAGATCTCATGGCCATCAGGGAACATTCACTTTTAATACAGAAAACGCAAAAACAGGGAAAATCAAAAGAAATAGAAGATTCTGTGGGAGTGGAGACACTTCGCACTATTTGGAATATAGCAAACCATAGAGTTGATCAAATTAGGGGAAGAACATTATGTGAGTATGTGGCCCAACATAGGTGTGGAGTCTACAGGAATTGTTAGCTGGACAGTCTTCAGTGCAAGTATATTTGTGAAAGGTCTATGTCTGACATGCAACAATAGAAGTCTCACATCGTTTTAGACAAAAATAACATAAGTGTTTATAAATTTCATTCACACACACTCTGCTATGCATTCATGTAGACTGAATTTATTTAAATTCACATGGAATTTTATATTTTATTAAATTTTTTAATTATTTTTATTAACTTTTTTTTTTTAATTTATGTTTATTTAAATTTTTTTTATTAATATTTTTTAGAGATAATTTTTTGAAATTATCAAAATAGTTCATTTGGGCCAACATCCATTTAGGTTTCAATAGCAATCCACTTACTCTCACATTATTTTTAATTCATAATTCCATAAATTTAATTGGTATATAAACACTAATGGTGTTTTTATACTAACCGATGTGGGACTATTACTGAAACAAGTAGCTTCTTGGATCCTTCTATGCAGAAACAAATAAGCTTTACTAAATTCCTGTGATGAGTTCGAGCGATGGCCGTAATTTTAGTTTGAAATTCCCTCTCCCCTTCCTCAACAATTCTCTCATCCAGTCTCTTCACGACAATACTTCTGTTATTGTCTCCTATTTTACCTTTATAGACAGTTCCAAATGATCCTCTCCCTATCTCTTCTGAAAATTCCCGAGTTGATTATACGAGTTCGTCAAAAGAAAATGAACGCAAGGAACATTCTTCAGTAAATTCAAGTTTTTCACTTTCAGATGACATTGCATACCTAATAACTTGACGCCTGTAAGTGAAGAAAATGGACACTGCCATGACCAAACAAATCAATGAAACGATGCCCAAAATAAGCGCTAGGATCATTATCAGGTTTTTGTTGTTGTCAATGACAACCTTAGACTTAGACTCGTTGGAGTCGTTTAAGGTTGGAGGCGAAATAGCAATGGAAATATTTTGAGTTTTTACTAATGCCACAGACACAGTGGTGGAAGAAGAATCATTTTGAGTCCTTTCTCATATAAGTGGAAACCTAAATTTATTGCAGTTGTCGTTGGTATATATTGCTCCCCCGCAACCACAATCTTGTGCGCAAGCCTTCTCACAAGTTTCCATCTTCATCATGGGTATAACAGAATATAGAACATCACCCCAATGCATATTCTTAAAGCGAGTAAAATTATACAACAAGGTTCAGTCTTCACTGCTTTAACAATCGTCTTTGCTATGCGTATGTATGCAGTTCATATGCATACTTTTAGTATTGGAAGATATGAAACCAGGAAGTAGACGAAATTTGTAAACCAACGCCTCCGGGCTCAGCTCAATGTGATAAAAATCGAACGAGATGTGAATTTTACCGTATCAAACATTTATACAAATGAATTCCGGTTCAGCACAAACATGTCTTTAGAAACTCAAAATTTACGGGTCCTTCCTTAGTGACCAGCTTTTGACTTTCAAAGAAGGCATCAAGACAGAATTTTGGCAATCAAAACCGCGCGCATACAACATTCCAGGCGAGAGTTATGAATTTTCTAATGCACACGAAACAACAATTCAACACACTTTTCTTCGTATTTTTTACTGTATAACTTCCAAGAGAATTGCATATTCAGAGACCTTTCTTTGAGGAATAGCCTTTGGCCCAAACATAAAAGTTGGAGAGGACACCCATACGGATTCAAAATTTCAAGAATCAACCCCCAAAACACCATTCCCAAGCAGGAGATACGAATTTTTGAGCTCAGATAAGTTGAAATACTGTTTCTAATTCGCACTACTTTAGATCCACCGAAAACACTCGAATGTTTTACGGCTCAGCATGCTTTGACGAAATATGAGAGATTTGTTATGTTGATGAAATGCCTTGATCCCATGAGTATGTATCCAATGATATGCATGCATGTATATGCTATCAAGAGTATAAGCCAATTAGGGTTAAAAAATGAAGAGGACAAATTTGGGGGTACAATAGAAGGCATTAAGCTTTAGCATCCAAAGTGAATATTAGCTATAAATCTACCTCTAGAATTTAGAAACTAATAGATATTCATCCCTAATTAAGATTTGTGAGGTATATGTCTATAACAATCCAAATCCAAACATAAAGCAAAAAGATCAAAGAAGACATCAAGATTGATTTGTAAAGCAAACTTTATACAACACCATGATCAACAAATATACATATGTTCAAAGTAAATATATAAACAATACCCAACAAAAGAGAAATACAAAGAGGGGAGAAGAGATAAACCACAAATCTTCCGGTTTGTCAACATCGGTCGAAGAGAAATCTACCTCCAATCATCCATAAGCAAAATCCTAATTTTGTTTTCGAAGCTAATCTATCAAAAAATAAAGGTTTGATGAGTTGGGAACAAATACCCTAAAACACAACCTAAAAATGTGTAT